ACAAGGATCTTCATCAGAGCCGAGGAAAGGTGGATGTGTCGCAGGGTTTGAGCAAGAGAATGGGAGTTGGAGGGAACAAAAAAATGAGGCTCTGAGAGAGGGCAGACCCACCATAGTAATTACCTAACTTTATCTCTGCCTCAGTTCAACTGTTTCAGAGGCTCTTGTACTTTCCACTGTTGCCTCTAGTCTGTTCAACACTGACATCTTTCTGTCTAGCCAGCCATTCTACATCCATAAACGTGTAATAATTCAGCCTTAGTGCCTTTGCTCATAGTCACAAAATATTCCTCTACACCCACAATCACTCTGCCCATTGACCCTACAAAGTCTCCTGCTTAAGCAACACTTCAGTTTTAAAATTTGTACACTTGCTGTCCAATCCCTCCATGGTCTCGTTTGCTCAATTTCCTTGTGTTCAAAAGTATTTTTCCAGAAACAACAGATAAACATGAAAACTTGCACATTCAAAGACCAATGATATTCAGGTCCTGATGAACGAACTGACACCTCTCAGACATTGATTTGATGTTTGATTTGAGTTTCCCATCTGTAAATACTAATTGTTTAATATTGTGTAATAGGAAATTACAACAACAAAAAAATCAATCATCTGGGACAGACAGGATTCATCCAGGATTCACAACATTGCTTCATCCTGGCCCAGGGGGAGAGTCAAAGATCTATGGCTCATCATGTCCACATCAGTCAAAAGCAACTACTGAACTATTCTAATCCCATTTTCCAGCACATGGCCCACAGCTTTGTATGCCTCAGCATTGCAAATGCATATTGAAATATGTCTTAAAAGTTATGAGGGCTTATGACTCTACCACCCTTACAGGCACTGTATGATTCCCATCACCACCTGGGTGAAAATGCTTTTCCTCAAATTACCTCTAAACCTGCTTTCTACTCCTTCCCTTAAATATGTGTCCCTGGTCATTGATCCCTCCATCAAGGGAAAAAATTCTGGCTACCCTATCTATGCCCCTCATAATTTTATACATCTCAATTAGTCCTTCCCCAATCACTCTGCTCTCAGGAAAACAACCCCTGGGCATCCAACCTCTCTTCAAAACTAAAATTCTCTAGCAACATCTCGGTAAATCTCCTCTGTACCCTCTCCAGCCTTGAATTACAGAAGGATGCAGAAGGGCTGGTCAGATGGGCTGATCAGTGTCAAGTGATATTCAGTAAGTTAATTGTGAGGTAATGCACTTGGATGCTGTCACATCCTTCCTACGATGTGGATTCCAGAACTGCACACAGTACGCTAACTGTGGTCTAATCAATGCTCCATAAAGTTCCAACATAACCTCCCTGCTCTTAAATCCAAGCTTCAGCTAATAAAGACAAGTAGCCCATATACCTTCTTAACCACTTCGTCTACCTGTCCTGATATCTTAAGAGACTGGTAGACACACACACTAAGGTCACTGTGATCCACGGTTCTTTACAGGATCCTACAATTCATCATGTATTCCCTTGCCTTGTTCTGTCTAAGTGCATCCTATATCTTTCTGTAAGCTAAGGCTATCCTCCTCACTATTTACCACCCCACAAATTTCCTGTCATCTGTGAACTTACCACTTACAATCAGGTCTAAATCACAAACAGCAAGACTGCCAACACTGACCCCTGTGGCAACCCATTGGCCAGAGAGTTTCAGTTGGGGGAGAAAACATTCCTTAACCATCACTCTCATCTCCCTGCCACACAGCCATGCAGGGTACCGATAGTGTTTGCTCTCATAGAATCCTTACAATATGGAAGCAGGCCATTCGGCCCATCAAGTCCACACCAACCCTCTGAAGAGCATTTCACCCAGACCCACCCCCCTACACTATTCCCGTAACCCTGCATTTCCCATGGCTAATCTATCTAGCCTGCACGTCCCTAGACACTATGGGCAATTTAACATAGCCAATCCACCTAAGCTGCACATCTTTGGATTGTGGGATGAAACTCACACAGACACGGGGAGAACATGCAAATTTCAAACAGACAGACATCTGAGCCTGGCTTCCAACCTGGGTGCCTGGTGCTGTGAGGCAGCAGTGCTAACCACTGAGCCACTTCCATCCCTGCTACACATTGCCCATCACTGTTGTCAACAGAACCCCATTTATGTTTCTAGATTCAATAATGCCGCTATCAAACTAAAAGCAAGGGGGAAAATAAAGCCTGCTAGAAATCTGAAAGTGAAACAGAAAATTTAGAAAAATTATAACTGGTCATAACATCTGCAGAGAGAGATATAGTTAATGCTACTCACTAGATAATTAGAATACTGAATGGCCTGGACATAGTGGATGTTGGGAAGATGCTTGCATTGGTGGGAGAGACTAGGACACTAGGACACAGCCTTAGATTAAAGGGAAGATCTTTTAGAATGGAGATAAGGAGAAACATCTTCAGCCAGAGAGTGGTGAATCTATGGAATTCACTGCCACAGAAGGCTGTGGAGACCAGGTCATTGAGTACATTTAAGACTGAGATAAGACAGGTTCTTGATTATCAAGGGGATCAAGGGTTACAGGGAGAAAGCGGGAGAAAGGGGTTGAGGAACTTATCAGACATGATTGAATGACGGAGTAGACTCGATGGGCCAAATGGCCTAATTTCTGCTCCTATGTCTTATGGTCTTATGATAATAAAAGGATAAGCCATTCCGGACTGAGATGAGGAAGAATTTCTTCACTCAGTGTTGTGAACCTGTGGAATTCTCTCCCACAGAAAGCTGTTGGGGTCAGTTTGTTAGATATATTCAAGAGGGAGCTGGACGTGGCCCTTGTGGCTAAAGGGATCAAGGGGTATGGAGTGAAAGCGGAAGTGGGATACTGAAATTGCATGATCAGCCATGATCATGTTGAATCAGGCTCGAAGGGCAAACTGGCCTACTCCTGCACCTATTTTCTATGTTTCAGGATGTGAAGAATAAATTACAGGGAATAAAACGACCGTAGAATTTGAAGGTCGATAATGAGCTTTGAAGGGCAAGAGAAATGAAACACATTGCAGTTAAAAAAAAACTGTAAAATATCCTGTGAGAAAATGAAGCTGGTAAATCAGCACCACATGACCAGGCAATGGCCAGCTGTGGAAATCTCATTTAGACACTGTCGACAAAAGCAAGAGTAAGACAGTAAACAGGCCTACAACGCACCCATTATCAGAAACAGAGGAAGTTGGAGATTGGTGATGGGAAAGTTGAAACATAGCTCAGTAAAGAAACTAAACCAGCCCTGGAGCTAGTGAACCGCTCGCATATGGCAGAGAACAACACTGAAAGCTGTACTTTGTAGATAAGTGCTCTGAATGCTGAAACTATTTGCAAAATTAAAAGCCCTTGCTAGAGATTGCAGCTGGAAACAGATCAGAAAACACTGGAGTCAGGGAAAAATCTCACAGTTGAGGAAATATCATGGGGAGTGGTTGATGTCACCATGCAATTGTCGCTGTGTGATGTCACCACAGATAGGAACACAGAGCATCTGGGTCTGTATGAACCAGAGATCACCACACATTGTGAAGGGTGGGAGGGTCCCTGAGAGGGGGCATTGGAGATCTACCAGAATGTCTAAGGTTCTTGAGTCGACTTGTAGCTCGGGTTGTGGATGCTGTGGTTGGTGGGCTCGCCGAGCTGGTTTGTTAGTTCGCAGACATTTCATTACCCTGCTGGGTAACATCATCAGTGCAGCCTCGGATGAAGCGCTGCTGTGTTTTCCTGCTTGGTATTTAAACTCTGGGGTCCATTGGAGTTGATTACCTCATTTCCGGTATTTCTTTGCAGTGGTGTATATTTAGCATCCAATTCTATGTGTTTATTGATGACCTCCTTGGTGGACAACTAGGCCCCTAGAAGTTCGCTCGGAACCTAACAGCCCAAACAGAGAAAAGCACGGGAATATCTGGAGGCCTCGTTCTCCACCAAGAAGACCATCAATAATGTGGATTAGAGGGAGCAGTTCTGAAGAAGGGTCACTGGGCTTGAGATGTTGATGCTTATTTCTCTCCACAGGTGCTGCCAGACCTGCTGAGTTTCTCCAGCAATTATTGGTCTTGTTTTCCATCGAGGGGCTGAATGACTCTAAATCATATGATCATATGTTTACAACACCATTATCTTCAAGTATCCATCTGCATCACATGCCCTTCTGCTTCAAATATATATTTAGTGCTCCTTAATGAACGGGTGAAAATGCCAGAAGTTGGGATTACACTGAATAGATTTGTGGGATCATCTTCAGCAGACTGTGGTTCAAGAAGAAAATAATCCACTATTAGCCTTGAGGGGGGTAACTGGAGATCTGCACTAAAATGTATAGTAATGCCCTCGCTACCAACACCGACAAACAAAACATTAAACACCTTAGCAACGAGATAGTAGGAACTGCAGATGCTGGAGAATCCAAGACAACAAGGTGCAGGGCTG